CGAGCCTTTTTTTTTTTTAGACAGAGTCTCACTATGTCACCCTTGGTAGAGTACCTTGGCGTCACAGCTCACAGCAACCTCTAACTCGCATCCTCAAACTACGGCCGACGGGCCACATGCAGCCCTCCTAGGACATTTATCCAGCCCCCTGGGTGTTTTTGCCACCACTGCCTGTCTTGCTTAGCAGCCAACTCATCCCAGGGCCTGCAGTTGAGCCCTCCAACGGTCTGAGGGACAGTGAACTGGCCTCCTGTTTAAAAAGTTTGAGGACCCCTGCTCTAACTCTTGGGCTTAAGAGATTCTTTGGCCTCAGCCTCCCAAGTAGCTGGGACTATGGCACCTGCCTCAATGCCCGGCTATTTTCGTTGTTGTTGTTGTTGTTGTAATTGTCATTGTTGTTTAGCTGGCCCAGGCTAGGTTCAAACCTGCCAGCCTCGGTGTATGTGGCTGGCACTGTAACCACTGTGCTACAGGAGCCGAGCCAATCCCTAAGGATTCTGGCCAGAGTCGCAGCCTCCTCTGCTGCCCAGAGCTCCTGCTACTGTTTCAGAATTGAGATTAAAAGCTTGGAGAAGGGGTTTAAGCACTGGTAGGGGCAGAAATTTATCTGCCAGGTTGAGGCAGGACCTGTTCCCCATGTCCACTTGTGATGAACTGGTTCCTCCCTCAGGAGATAGGAAGGATCTGCAAGAAAGAATTGGCCCAGCAGAAACTGAGGCCCCGAGAGGGGACTTGCTTGCCCAGGCCCACCCAGCCTGCCTGTGGAGGGCTGTTAGGAACACTCTTGGCCTGAGCCCTCTGCAGGCCTGTCTCATAGCCCAACTTGTGGGTACATGGAGGCAGGAATGGTGGCCCGGCAAGTCCTGGGACAGGGCCGATGCTGTGGGACTTGCAGCTGCTATATGTGGGAGGTGGACACTGGGCCTGATCTCCCTGGAGCAGAGGGAGCTCTTCCTCTGGCCCTTTGGCTGCTGACTCGTGGGTCTGGGAGGGTCAGCTGGGGACAAGCAGCAAGTAAATATAGATCCAGGGAAGGAAGCTGGGCGGCCTAGCCTGGAGCTGACCTCTCTCTGGAAGTCTGGCGAGGGCAGGGAGAAATCTCATCCAATCCTAGCCCCCTCCTGTCGGGGTGGTGACACTTGGCACAGGAGCTTCCCGGAATTCTGGAAATGGGTGGGGGTGGGAGGGTAGACCCTCCAGTGGGGACTAAGGTAAAGACAAGTGGAAAGCTGAATAAGAGATGCTGTTTCTATGTGACCTGAGACAAGCCACATTCCCTCTCTGGGCCTCTTGTTCTCTGGGGATTTCTAATGAAAGTGCTTTCCAGCTTTTTAATTCAGATAAGAGAGTGACTGATTCAAAAGGACCTGAGGTCCACAGCTACAAGGGGAAGTGTGGGCAAAGTCCTGTTACAGACCCTCCCCACTCCCACAGGTCTAGCTTATTCAGAAGGATTTCCACTCATCTCTTCTTGCTCTCCTGCCCAGTCTCTGTGTGCTGGTCCCCTCCATCTAGGGCTCAGGGCTACCCCCCAACCTGGCTGTCCTTGCTGTATGGCTACAGTCCTACACTGGCCCCACACCAGGCACATCGTGTCCGCCTAGTCTAGCCAAGACTCCTGGGCCCCCCAGCTCTGGGAAGGGGAATTAAGCAAGGCAGCCACTCCAACACAGATATATTTATTGGCAAAAACTATCCCCAAGTGTCCCCAAGTGTGGAGGGGAAGGACACTAGCAGAGTGGGTAATTTTTTTTTCCTTTCTTAGCAATATTCTAGAAGCAGGGGGCAGAAGGGGCAGGCGTGTGTATGTGTGTGTGTGTGTTATTGCCATCAGAATAACAATACTAGCATTTCCCCCTCTAAGGTAGGCTCTGCACAAGCAAGGGCTTGACTTGCATTGTCTTATTTATCCTTATAAGAACCCTATAAGGTAGGTACCATTATTGGTCCCATTTCCAGATGAGGAAACTGAGGCATAGAATGGTGAAGTAGTGGGAGGTGGGTGTCAGCGTTCAGGGATTCCTTGTAGGAGACTTCCATTGACTGATCCAGCCAGGGAGTTACTAAGAGTAGCACTTCATTTCGGGCTGCAGTCCTCTCACACTAGGAGTCTATGTCCCCCCTAAATACTGGAGCCCACAGCCTCCTCTCTTTTAGGTCACTCCTTAATTCTCACTTCCCCCACCACCACCATGTCTAGTTCTTTCAACTCTTTTTGTATTTTTATTTTATAAAAAAATAGATTTGCCCATATTCTGAAGAGCCCACTGTCTCCTACCCCAATTAGTCAAATCTGGGTTCTCCCTAAGATTCAATTTAGATGGGTTTAGGGACACTGAGTCTCGAATGGGAGGTTTGGGGATGTGTTTGAAGCCAAAGTATGAAGAAAGCTCTTAGAAAATGCACAATAAATTACAAACCTTCCTCCCCTCCCCCTTCCTGTCTCAGCCCTACCTTTCCACCCTCCTCTCACCCCCCATGTAAATCTAGAACAGACTTACTATGCCTTGCCCCCCACCCCAACCCCAGGGCAGGGTCTTGTCTCAGTCTCCTCTGTGTCCACAGGATCCAGAGCTCTCAGTAAAAGTTTGTGGAAAGGATGAATGAATGAATTAACGAGCACTTGAAGGTAGGGAGCAAGCACTTAGGAGCTCTGAGTTCCAGGCCTGTTGGATCCTCACCTGCACCCTGCCCTCACCAGGACACCTCTCTCTGGCCCCAGAGAAGAGGGTCTCAGGGTGAAGGGAGGAGTCAGCAGGGCCACTTTTGAGTGACTGACAGACGACAGAGCTGACCTCAAAGTCAGAAAACCTAGCCCAAATTCCAGGTACACTACTAGGGAGCCTTAGGCAGGCTAAAAAGAGTGGTGACTACTATTCTGCAACATGGGTATTACTATCAATATACCTATTTTACAGAAGAGGAAGTAGAGGCTGAAAGGTCAAGGGACTTGCCCAAGGTCACACAACAAGCATCACCACCCCTACTTCCCCTCTTTGCTTCTGCCCCTGTCTGTGCTATGAAGAGGTGGGGCTCAGATCCAAGTCTTCCAGCAGGGGACCATCTGTGGCAGTGTAGCAACAGGAGGGACGGTATAGCAGATCCCCTAATATGGGCCCCATCAGCCATCTCCAGCCAGGAAAGCCAATCTGCCCTTTCCCAGGCACCCCTTCCTTCCCCACCCACAGCCCTGGGTCCTCAACTACTATCCCAGGAGGAGCCTAAAGTCCACGAGATACCCATGAACTTCAGCTATTCCTGGGAGGGTAAGGAAGTGGAACGGGAGTTTGGGGCCTGGGCCCGCCCCTCACACTGGCATGGCCACTTCGTCATATTCATCTCGACCTTCCTCCTCATCAAAGGTCAGCTTCGCATCATCTGCATCCAGCTAGAGGGGAGGAGAAGAAAGGAGAGGACTGAGAGGCCTGGGGGCTAGATGAGCCCTCGTTGGGTGCTTAGAGGCACCTCTGGATGTGGGAGTTCTTGGGCAAGTCCTGTTCTGTTACCGCAGCCTCTGGGGATTGGTCTAGATGGCCAAAGAGGGAGAAGCCCTAGGGGATCTGGTATCCCAGCAGGGGAGGGCCCAAAGAGGGTACCCAAGGGACCCCTTCACCAGGGCAGCTGCACAGTGACCTGTGTCATGTTGTGGAAGAATTCTGGTAGAGGAGCAACTCTGTCCCAAATGATTTTGAAGACCAAAGGACTAGCTGCTCAAGGGTTGGCACAGCTCCCTGGGAGCACATCCTGTGTGTGTTTAAATACTTTCACCAGCCCCGTCATCATTACTACCTTTATAGGTGAGCAAAACAGGGCTGCAGGGATGTGAGGCCCCTGGCTCTGGATTATATGCTAGGACATGGAAGGCTGAGACCCAGTCACAAGCTCCAGACCTGGACTATACCCGTGATGCTGTCCTGCCTGCCCTAGTTCTGAGATGCACCCCTCACATTATCCCAGCTCCTGTGCCCCAAGCCCAGGCAGCCACTCACACACTGCAGCTCCAGATTCTGGAAGATGAGTGGTAGCAGGTAGCGTCGCAGGGGCACAGTGAGGATGAGGACAAAGGGCAGGGCAAGGGAGGCGGGTGTGGACTTCACCACCCACAGCACTACCAGGCAGATGATCTGGATGCCCGTGAACAGGTGCATGCGCCAGGTCACCACCTGCAGGCAGAGGCTGGGGTCAGTGCCTGCCTACCCCAGCACGCACCCATCCTACCCTTACCCCCACCCTGGCTGGGCAGCAGAGGACCCTGTACCCGTTTGACGTAGGGCACATCTGGGTGGTACTTGGGTGGCTTGAGCAGAAGCAAGATGCGGTCGAAGAGCTGGATGCCACTGAGGGATGTGACGCCCATGTAGAGGAAGATGCCAAACAGCACAGCCAGGGGAATGCGTGACAGGATGGGCTCCATGAGAATGGACAGGCCTGGGCGGGGGTCATACACACTCAGCCCTGGGTGTCCAGAGGCCCTGTGCCAGGGAGGCCAGGACCTTCTCTGGGACTGAGAAAGAAACCACAGGTGCTGTGTAGAGCCTTTTCTATGAGTCCTCTTAATAGACTTTACCCCCATTTTACAGATGAGGCAAGTGGCTCAGAGAGGTGAACAACCCACCTAAGGCCACACAGCTAACAGGGAGTCAGACTCTCCAGCCTGCTTGACTTAAGTTCACTCCTTTAACCTAGTAGGGGTCACAGCGGTAAGAGAAACACCTTTTCCCTCACTCCAGTCCAGAACCCCATCATCATCCTCCACCTATCCGAATCCAAACCTTCCCCTAAGTAACATCAATTTTACCTCTAAGCAGCTTTCTGACTCTCCATCAATGACCACAGCACTGCCTACCTTGGACCCAGCTGGGTTCTTGGCTGCTCCAGGACAAGGATCAATCCAGTGACCTTTCTGTCTTCCACCCCCAAACCTCTAAGACTGTGCCCCTTGTATTAGCATAGAGCAGCTGAGTTGGAAGAGATCTGGGGGCATCTAACTGTGCAGACAGGGAAACTGAGACCCAGAAAAGAGGAGGATGTCAAGTTAGCAGCAGGACAGGGCTGGAACCCACAGTCCATTGAACCGTGGACAAGTTCAGAAGGCAGAGCCTGGCCTAGAGAAGGCCCCAGAAGAGAGGTCCCCTTCCTACCCTGCTCTGATTCCCCTCCCAAATGCCTCGACATTTCTTTCAGGGTACTCCTCGGGTAACGAGTGTTGGGTGGATGTGGGCAGCAGGTGTGTGGGGACTTGGCTGCAGCATGGACAGGGCCAGGGGGCATTAGACTCTAAGGGCAGAGCAGGAAGGTGGGGAGGGGCTGGCACGCACTCACCCACAAGCACAGAGACCAGAAGCCCACTGATCCGTTGCTCCTTGACCTCCTGGATCTGGGCTGCAGCCCCTGGGGTGCTGACCTTGCTCATGACGGTAAGGGCATTAGCATGGGTGACAGAACGCACTGTGGTGGCACTGAGCCAGGGCATCCCAAAGAGGGCAGCCAACCCGCCCATGCCCACGACCAGCAGCAGGTCCATGTGGAAGCCAGAGCCCTTGATCATCTTGCGCTCAGGTTTGCTGATTATAAGCCTGGCAGGGGGATAGAGGTCAGGGGTAAGTAGGGGCTCTCCCCAGCCCCATCCTTCCTCCTCCACACTCAGGTGCCTCACACCTCAGTTCTGTCTTCTGTGCTCCTCCCTCTGTGAGTTCCTTGCCCCTCCCTCCCTGTCATGAGAATGAGGACTCTAAGAACAGAAGTGTCCGCAGAACAATCCACAGGGGAGTCACTGGCTAATGAAGCTCAAGCTTCAAGATCGTTGCTTCACTGCAAACTCAAACTACTGGGCTTAAGCAATCCCTTTTCTGAATAGCTGGGACTTCAGGTGTGTGCCACGATGCCAGCTAATTTTTAAATTTTTTGTGGAGACGAGGTCTCACTCTGTTGTCAAGGGTGGTCTCAAACTCCTGAGCTCAAGCAATTCTCCTGCCTTGACCTAAAATGCTGGGATTACTGGTGTGAGCTACCACACCCAACCTCATTTTGCATGCTTTTGCTTAAAAAGTGCTGTCCAAGTTATACAACTTCAGATCCCACAAAACCTGCCACTTCTGCTAGGTGGGAAAGCTGCATGTCCCGCTGAGACTAGTTTGCAGTCCTCAGTCTCTTGCCTGCCTAAGACCTATCCTCTTCCCTTCCCTACCTCTGACCCTCCCAGGCCTGCCCCCTCCCAACGCCCCCATCTCTTACGTGGTGATCTGAGACTCAAGGAATATGAGGATGAAGACCAGCAGAGCAGGCAGGGCGGAGGCGAACATCATCCAGATGGGGAAGGCGGAAAACAAGCCCAGTGGGTGGATGACCCAGCCACGGGCAGAGGAGTTCGACACCTTGAGGCCGTCCGGCACTGCGAGTTTCTGTGGGAGGGGGCAGCTGGTGAGAACACCAGGAGCATGGGGACCCAGGGTCCTGGGTGTCAGGGAGTTGGGTTGGGGGCACTTGGGAACTTACTTATACTGAGCACCTACTCTGAACCCAGCCACTGCACTAATCCCTTTACACCATCTGCTTATTCCCAACTTTATAGATGAGGAAACAAGATCAGAGAGGTTATGCAGCTTGCCCCACATCCCACAGCTATTTAGTGGCAGAGCTGAGATTCGTGCCCAAATCTGTCTGGTTCCAAAAGAGACTTTTTTCTGCTCCCCTGGTTTAAGGAATAAAGGGGTCAATCTAACCCAACCCCTTGCTTTGGCCAGAGGGGTCCTGTGAGGGGAAGAACCTGGGGCTCTTGGGGGTGAGGGTGGCAGGGAGGGGGTAGAGGGAGTCCTAGCTGGCTTCAGGTTGGTGAAAGCTGTTCTGGGGAGCATGCTGGGGGAAGGAAATGAAGACCTGGAGGGGGTCATGGGTTTGATCACTGGGAGGAAGGGTCACCTGAGTGTAGGTATCCTCAATGAAGAAATCCACCAGAACCATGATCAGGATGGAGATGGGGACCCCGAAGTCCCCAATGATCCGACGCAGCTGGAGGCAGATGAAAGGACAAGTGGTCAGTGGTTACTCTCATCCTGCCTCTCTGCTCCTCTGCCCTGCCCCCACACTCACCCAGGGGCATGCTCTTCCCAGGGGACATACTGGCATCTACTTCTCTGACCTGCACGCGACTACACCAGTCTCCTTTATTCTTTCCCGGCCCCAGCCCCAACCCCGGCCCCATAGCTTCTTCACCCCCAAGAACTGTCCATTCACCAGTGGGTTCTCAGTCTAGGTGTGCCCAGAAAGGGAGACAGGCTCACATGCAGAGTGAAACCCTGAATAAGGAGAAGCCTAGAGAAGCTTGGAATTGGAAATAGAAATCTGGGGAAAGAAGGGGAATTAAGGGTGCTTTTTTCCAAAGCTGGGATGAGAGATTTGGACTGAAATAGAACAGTGTAGGCAAGGATGAGTGTGGGGGGGGTATGCTGACCTTGCCAGGGAAGTAGGAGCTGTTCTTGAACTTGCGCAACATCATGGCAAAGAAGAAGGTGCCGGCCATGAGCACAAGGGAGAGGAGGGCTGTGTTGGGCAGGGGGCCCTGAGGTTTGGGCACCATCAACACATTGGGGTTATAAGTCTTCTGTAGTGGGTGGTCCTGGAAAATCTGAAGCAGAAAACCAAAATATCCTGTTTCCTCCCATCCTTGGCTAAGGCTGGAAAGTATCAGCTAAATCTACCCAACACTGCCATTCCATCCACCCATCATCCAGTCAGCCAGTCATCATCCATCCATCCAACCATCATTCATCCATTCATTCATCCACCCATTCATCTTCCTCAACTAACATGGTAACAGAGGAGTGATGGGATTCTACAGTATGGTTTTCAGGCATGAAGAGTAAGTTAGACTTGGGTGGGGTGGGCCACAGAGGCAATGAGTGCATGTGTGTACATACAGGACCTGGGAGGACAAGAAATAATTGCCAAGGGAGTTTTTAAAAAGGACCTAAAAGACCTGGACTCAGAACGCCCCTCCAACCAACAGGGGAATACATATAGCGTCCACCCTTTCTCCATATAAAATGCAGATTAGGAGGCAACTTGAGATGACAGAGATAAGCTAAGGGGCAGGGCACTCAGTCTGCAGGCCCTACAGTTTATGAGGACAAGTGCAGGAGGGGGAATGAGGGACTTCAGAGCCTCCAGAATCCCCACTGCCCTCGCTATGCACGCACTGTCCCATGCCCAGTTTGTCACACACTTGCCTACAGGTCACATCATGTGTAATCATGAACTGGCCATGTGCACACAGGTGCACAGTCATACAGAGTCACTCTGCACAGGTAGGGCAAGAATACTGGGCCACAGGCAGCAGGTGTCAATACACATGTGGTCAGTCAACACAGCAGCACATTCCTATGTACAGATATTGACAACACACAGACACATTCATTCCCATAGTCATACGCACAGTCACACAGTTATGTACATCGGTGGAAACAAGGCCACACAAATGCTGTACCAATGAGTGAAATGACACACACAGCCACGTGGTCTTGTACATAGTTTGACAGGTGCATTCATATCCGCAGGGGCCCCACCTTGATCAGCTTGTAGAAGGTCTCATAGATGAAGATGAGGGAGATGAGGAAGGAAAAGATCTCCTGGGTGTAGCGGGAGATGAAGCGGACCATGAAGCTGCCCTCGAAGGCCACCACCAGCACCACCAGCAGGATGAGCCAGAAGCCAATCCAGGCTCTGCCCACAATATACTCCAGGCCATTGCTCTCACAGAACTGCAGGGCAGTCAGAGGGAGTGAGATCAGATGGAGTCTCAGGCACCAGGCAGGTGGGGCCCAGGGTCAGTTACAGGGGCAGACAGAGGCCAGGCCATAGCTACCGAGAAGAAGGCTTCCTCAAACACAAGCAGGGGGCCTGAGAAGCCAAGCACAAGCAGAGGCTGGGCTGCCAGCAGGGCAAAGAGAATGCCCTGCACCGCAGTAGAGATGAGCAGTTCCGACACGCCCATCTGGTTTCTGGTCTTTTCTCCTGTGGGTAGAGGTCACAGTGGGGTCAAAATCAGGAGGCTATTGTGCAAGTCATGGGTAGGCTGTTGCAGGGTCCAAAAGTCAGAAGTCAGGGCCAAGGCAAAGGCCAGAGGGTCAGAAGTGAGAGTTAGGGAGACAGGTGTTGGCACTGACCCAGGAGGCCACCGAAAGTGATGGCAGGTGACAGGGCAGCAAAGTAGATGAAGATGACGGCAGCCAAGACCTGGGGGCTCAGCGCATCTGTGATGTCACTCAGGTAATAGGGGTACCGGCGCCGGACGTCACGCACCAGGCCCCCAAACAGCCAGCCTGTCCGCTGCAGGGGGTCATCTGGGCCTCCAGGGACTCCTGATCCCCCATTCAAGTCTGTGGTGGAGAACAGGGAGCGTAGTTAGGGCAGCAGCAAGGGGAGCCATGGGAGAGGAGAGAGGAGGAGGTGAGAGGGATTGTCTGATGGGAACGTGTGGCAAAGGAGGCTGGCAGGTGTGGGCACAGGGAATGGTGACAGAGGGCTATTTGGCAGGAAGATGGAGGCTGTGCTGGGATGTCTGAGGATCTGTGGGGTCAGAAAGCCTTGGCTGGGCAGGGCAGATACCTAGGCCCTTATAAAAGCTGGGGTCAGGCTTGGCAGGGCTGGGTAGGTAGCGTTTCCGGAGCAGCTCTTTCTGCACAGGCACCAGACTCCGCAGGGCCTGTTCTGAGGGGACATCCGTGGGAGGCAGCACGAGGCTGCTGTCCAGAAAGCTGTTCAGGGAGTCCACCAACTCCCCCCGCCTCTGGGCGAGGTAGGCATCTGTGCGGAACACCTGGGGGCAGGAGAGAGGGTCAGGCCAGCCACAAGATCTGCCAAGCAGAAGGATCCAGGTGTCCACAGCCAGGGCCTACAGGGTCCAGAAGCCTCTCATCCTCATGCTGGGAATTGGGTTTTTTGCCCCTCTCCTACCCTACTCCACACTGAGAAAAAGCTTTGGGGAGACAGAAATGGGGGCTCTGGGTGAGGCAAGGAGGAGCATGCAGCCCTCTCCTCTCCTAACCAGGTGGGTTAAGCAGACCAGATGGAACTGGAGAGACCAGAACAGACCAAGCTAGACCTAAGCAGGTAGAACTAAGACAGAGGGGGCCAGACGAGACGAGCCAGGTCAGAGCCAACAGAGCAGGCCAGACTATACACACATGGACTGCCCTGGACAGGTGGGGTCGAAGTACCTGAATTAGACTGAATGGGTCAAACTAGTGGACCTAAAGTGACCCAGGCTGGTTCAGGGTGGAGAATGGGCTTCAACCACCACCCAGCTCCTGGGCTCCCCCAGCCCTCCTGGCCCCTCCTCACCCTCTCTGACATGAGGGTCGCAGCGGCCCGGCCGAGCTGGGTGTAGTCCGTGTGGGGTGTCTCGGGTCCCAGCAACACAAAGAGGAAGCGAACAGGCACTGGCTGCTCCACGGCCTCCAGCAATGTGGCCTCCTGTAGCCGCACGAAGCCCAGCACTGGCCGCTCCAGGAAGGCGACACGGCCTGTTGGGAGGAATGAAGGAGTCAGGCCAAGCTAAAGGGGTGTGGGGTGGAGTATTTAAGAGAGGAGTTGCAGGGGTCTGGCCTTAGGGAAGGAAGGCTGGGCCATGACATGAGGCAGAAGCAGGAGTGGGGAGGGCCAGGGGTAGAGATACACCTCTTACCCACTAGTACCAGGGAGGCCTCTGAGTCTGGTGGAATCTTTCCCAGAATTCCCGATGGTGAGGACCCTTCAGTGCCTCCATCTCCCTGTGAGAAGGAGGGTGCTGAAGAGTGTCACCAGGCCACTCCCAGCCCAGGAGACCTGAAAATGCAGCCCCCTCCTTCCCTTCCCATTCTTACTTCTAAACATGTTCAGGTTGGAGACTTCCCAGTTCTCCCTACATATCCCTGTCACAGCCTCACCTGATGACAGAAGAGCTGTGTCTCCAGCGAGGGTTGCTGTGGGAGCAGTGGCTGTGAAGGTTCCCCAGAGCGTTGCAGGACTGCAGGCTTCACACCCCCTAGGGCCTCTAGCTCTCCAGCATGGCTGCAGGACATACAGGGGACATGGGCTGAGCAAGCTGTTTAGGCTGGGCTATCAAGGGTATGAGGGATCAAAGGTAGACCTCAAGTGGGACTTCTCAGAACAGACCAGAGCGACCTTGGAGTAGAAGAATCAGAGCCCTCTTTTAAAGAATGTTGTGGATGTAAGTGGGTGGCCTCTGTCTAGGATGACTAGGTGGGATCGAGAATGAATTGAGGAAAGAGCCATGTCTTGTCTTCCTGCAAACCAGCAGCTCCCAAATTGGAGCATGAAACATGGCCACCTTTTTCAAGGTGTCAGAGGTGGGATCCATAATGGAGGAAAAGTGGGCCCCTGCCTGGTGGGAAGTCTGGACCCTGGGGAAGATCTTGGGGTGGGGGGATGTAGGAGTGGGCCCACTGGGTGTGGAATTGAGATGCGGCAGGCAGGGGCACCTGTGTTTGAGGAGCAGGGTTCGGAGCAGCCCTTCTCGGTCCTGAGGCCGGATCTGCTCCTCGTAGATAAACCTGTCCAGCAGTTGGTTGGCCACTCCGGCCAGAGAGGTCTCCTGCAGATCCAGGAGGACAGTACCTGTAGGCAGTGGAGGGGTGAGCTGGGGGGCTGGCCAACAGTCAACAAGCCTCACGTGAAGCAGTCCCAGAGGGCACAGGGGACTCACCCTTGACAAAGACTTTCTGAAGCTCCAGGAGGCTCCAGAAGGTGAGGTAAGGCAGGTGTGGGCGCCCCCAGACTCCATCCTCCCCCAGGTTCTCCTCCAGTCGCACCCAGTGTGCCACCTCCATCCATCGCAGCTCCTGGTTCTTGTCCATCACCAGCTCCTGCAGCTCCACATAGACCTACAGCCCCACCAGCCTGAGTTAGTCCACCCAGGTGAGGCCATGGGGAGACCAGGGACCCAGGGCATAGTGGGCTCTCAGCAGCTCTGGAGAGAGGTTTCTAAGAAGCCAAGGCCCTGGAGGGCCAGGGGCAGACCTTGTCCTGCGAGCTTGAGAGTCCCAACCTCCTGACCAGGCCTCACCCCACTTCAGAAGGCATTTGGAGAACCTCTAGATCAAAAGGGGGTGCTGCAGTGGCCACTGGAGTGGGAAAGGCATGGGAAGCTAGGGGCCAGTGGTTGAGGCTAGAGGGGCCTGGGGAGTCTTTGGGTCAGTCTCCTGCCTCTAAGACTGTTGAGTAGATGTGTGTCTCAGCATGTCTTGGGGCCAGGTGGCCACTCCCAGGGCCATAGCTGAGGGCCAACCCAAATTCCTAACCAGCTAGACAGTCTGGCGCCCAGCAGGGACCCGGGGGCCGGGCAGAGCAGAGCATGTATTTAATACTGTGCTTCCCCAGTGAGCACCTGACAGCTGAGCCAGGGCCCGAGGGCCTGTGGACTCAGTCCTCAGCAGTCGGGTTATCTCTGCCCAGGGAACTCCCAGGGGCCCAGGTCTCCCTCTTAGTGGGAGTGTCCCCTTCCCTCCCACCTCTTTCCTAGGACCCCCATTCCTTGCTTACCTATTTGCAGGGTCTTCCCCAGTCTGAAGCTGCCTCTGCCCCTTTGCTCCTCCCTTCCCCTGGTAGAACAGTGGGGTTCTCACCTCGTGGGTGCCCGGCTGTGATGTGGTGGCGTAGTCTGGGGCAGTTGGTTCAGTGAGGTGAGCTGAAAACCCAATGGCTGGTTAGTGTCACCCCCAACAATGCCCCTGAGGCCCTTCTGTAAGCGCCTGCTATGAGCCCAGAGGCCCAGGCCTGGCAGATGCCCCTGGGTTGGGCCCCTGGTGGCCCAGTGGGGTATGGATCCCCACACCTCTCCTGGACCCAACCTGGCACCCTCTACCTGAGCCTTGTTGAGGACCCCTCAGATGCAGCTGGGGAGGCCTTGCCATTAGTGTTGAAGGGAGGAGATCTCCCCAGGGCAATTGCCAAGTTCTGAATGGCGATTTTCAAGACCCTCCTAGAGATCCCTCCTTCCCCTGCCACCTCTGGGGCTAGACTCCCTTCCCATGTTCCACCTGCCCACCTGCTTCAACAAGCCTTTGAGCCCAGTAGCTTCTCACAGCCTCTAAGCTGAGCTCAGGCACCAGGGTGGAGGCAGCCCCTTATATTTCACCCCTGATCACCCTTCACCCCTTATATTTCACCCCCCCCCATTTCCCAGAGGAGCCTCTTAACTTCCATACCAATCACCAGCACTTAAGTCCTGTTGACAGTAAATAGGTCCCTGCCTGGGGCTCCCCACCTAAGACCTTGGACAGGCCAAGGAAGGTGATATTGGTTCTTGATGCCTTTCTGCACAGTGGGGTCCCCATAGGCCCTAAGAATAGGCCCAGTGTCTGGCCTGGAAGCTGGCATTAGATGGCAGAAGGTGGCACATGAGCTCATGTCCTGGTCCCAGATGGGCCTGTTTGCCCTCTCACACATGGAAGGGGCACTGTGACAGGTGACTGCCCTGCTCCCCCACTCACCCTCACTCCCACTGCCTCCTGTGATCATTTCAAACAAAACACTGTTTATCCTTCATCAATCAGAATTGCGGGAAGAACTGGCAGAGGAGCTGGGGGAGAAGGTTGTGGAGAAGGAGAGAGGACATGGTCCCCTATGTTACTGTCCAGGGCTCAGCAGCATCCTGGCAGGAGGGAGGAGAGCTCACCTTCTGGTTCCTCCATTTGGGGCACGGAGACACTTGGTTCTTCATATTCCTCCTGCTCTAGAACATCTTCCAGCCCATCTTCATAATTCTCCTGTGGGAAGTGGTGATCAAAGCTGGGTTGTGAGGAGATCCCCAAACCTCCATAAGGGTAGGTGAGGGCCCAGTCCCGAGAGCCTCCAGGTAGGGGCCTTGCAGATGCCAGGAGAAACGTACCTGCAAATCCCCCATGGTTCTGCCTTGAGTGTACAGTTGTCCACAGTGATCCAAGCCTCCAGCATAACCCACGTTGTGGGTCCCTGCCGAGAAGGGGTACAGGGTGAGTGAGGCATAGTGTATCCTGGAGTCTCCAGGTTCTCCTCCCGAGGGGGCTGAATTTCAGTGAAGGGGATGGAAAATGCTGCAAGATGGTGGGGTCAAAGGAAGGAAGCGTGGGAGGGGGCTTGGGGGAAAGAAGCTGGATTTGAAGATGTAAAATAAGGTGTGTAGGGGCTGGAGGAGGGGGCTTAGCTGGGAAGAGGATCCTTGGTTGGCATTAATCTGAGGGTGCTGGGAGGGTGGGGAGGTGTGTAACTGCCCTCTCTGAGCCCAGATTCATACCTGGTTATTTTCCTGCCCATCCTTAGGACTCACCCAACATCAGGGATCATAACCTGTCCCATCTTCAGGGCTTAGCTCCCCTCAGGTTCTCCACAACAGACCCTTTTCTCTCAGAAATGGCTGCTTCCCACTGGGCATGGGGCTACAGCATCCAAGATGATGTGGGTGATCCTGCTTCTCGTCTTGATCTCACCTTGGGCCCCATCTTTCTTAGTCTCTCCTCACCTAAACCTGGACTCCCTGTGGTTTCTAGAACTCAACAAGCCCCATCCTCCCCCTGGGCCTTTGCACATCCTGGATATCCCTTCTCTTAACATCTCAGCCCCTGCAACATCTCAGCTCGAATGTCCCTTCCTCAGAGGCCCTCCCTGACCACTATAGTGCTCAGTGACCCACATTGTCATTTTCTGGTGACTGTCTTTTTTTTTTCTTTCTTTATTTTTTTGAGACAGAGCCTCAAGCTGTTGCCCTGGGTAGAGGCTGTGGCATCACAGCTCACAGCAACCTCCAACTCTTGGGCTCAAGCGATTCTCCTGCCTCAGCCTCCCAAATAGGTGGGACTACAGATGCCTGCCACAGCGCCCAGCTATTTTTTGGTTGCAGCTGTTGTTGTTTGGCGAGCCCGGGCTCGATTTGAACCCGCCAGCTCAGGTGTATGTGGCTGGCACCTTAGCAGCTTGAGCCACAGGCACCAAGCCTGGTGATTGAATTTTTTTTTTTTTAGACGGAGCCTCAAGCTATCCCCCTGGGTAGAGTGCCATGGCATCACAGCTCACAGCAACCTCCAACTCCTGGGCTCAAGCGAGTCTCCTGCCTCAGCCTCCCAAGTAGCTGGGACCACAGGCGCCCACCACAACGCCCGGCCATTTCTTGGTTGCAGCCATCATTGTTGTTTTGGTGGGCCCGGGCTGGGGATTCGAACCTGCCACCTTAGGTGTATGTGGCTGGCGCCTTAGCTGCTTGAGCCACAGGCGCTGAGCCTGGTGATTGACTTTTAATTCACCATCTGACAATGCTCTGGAAGGGAGGCCATGTGAGTGCAAAGGCCCTGCATGTCTCAGTACCCATGGAATCTCCTGCTTCCAGCAAAGTGGTTGCGGTAAAGTAGATGCTCAATAAATACTTGTGAAATGACTGTAATGATGGCTTCCTAAGGGGTCCTGATTGCAGACCTGGTCTCTGGAACCAGAGAGATAGAGTGACCAGGATTCAGCCAGGAGGCCAAAGAGCTTTGGGCCTCAGTTTTCTCAGGCATGTCTCTAGCAAAGAGGAAGGTGTCCCTGCCCCCAGGAACATGAGGACAGGTGCACCCAGACTGGGGAGGGAGCACTTTATTTATTTATTTATTTTTGAGACAGAATCTCAAAAATCACAGCTCACAGCCTTCAACTCTTGGGCTTAAGTGATTCTCTTGCTTCAGCCTCCCAAGTAGCTGGGACTACAGGTGCCTGCCACAACGCCTGGCTATTTTTTTGTTGTAATTGTCATTTTCGTTTAGCAGGCCCTGGCCAGGTTTGAACCTAACCGCTGAGCTATAGGCACAGAGCCAGAAGGGGCACTTTAGAAGGGGACCTCCTTTCCTTCCCTGCCCACCTGCAGTACAGGGCATTGTGGTGACAGGGCCTTGGGTAGGGTTGACAAATGTGCCCAGTCTGTGCCTGGCATTATGCTGAGCTCCAAGGGGCTAAGCTGCACAAGGCATATTCCCCCTCTCAGGAAGCTCCCAGTCCAGGAATAGGGCAACCTAAGTGTCTCAGAGGTGACGTGTTCCCCCAAACAAACACAAATTTCAAGGCCTAATGTGCTGAGTGCTGAAGATCTATGTGGCAGGAGAAAGAGAAGGTGGGTGGGGAGGGGATGGAGCGAGACTGGCAGAGGGTCACTGGGCTGGGCCTGGAGGCACAGGTGGGATGGAAAGGGCAGGGAGCTGGGGTGTGTGGAGGGGCCTAGAGGGTGGACCATGCAGGGCAGGGCAGGTGCCTCACGGTGGGAACAGAAAGCATGTGCAGAAATGCTGGGCAAAGAACTTTCTTTTTGAGGACTGAGTAGTCCTGCAGTCAAGGACAGAAAGAGGGGTGTGACCGGGCCCACCAGACTGGAAAAAGGAGGGGTCCCTGCCATGGGGTGCAAGGTAAGTGACAGCCAGAGGAGGGTTCCAGAGCCTTAGGGTGGGGCCATCCCTACTGTAAGGGGCTTTGTCGCTTGTGGACTCCAGCCACACATCTTTTTTCTTTTCCTCCTCTCCTCCTTCCCTTCCCCCATCTTTATTTTCTTTTTTTCCTTCTCTGGACCTGGGTGACCTAATCCTGAGTGGCCTCAAAGTTGTCTAAGCCGCAGGAGCTCAAAGTCCCACCATGGGGCTTTGGTTTCCCATCTGAGGAGTGGGATGGTCAGAGGGGTCCCCCAGAGCTACAGAATCCAGAGATCCAGGTTGCCTCTCTGCCACTGACTGGCCAAATGGCCATGGGCAGCTCTAGGCCTTAGTCCCTTCATTTCTAAATTGCGGGGGTGGGGGCTTCCCAGTAGGGTTCTGAAGCATTAGTGAGAGAGAAGAGGGGAAAACGGGTTCCTTGAACTCAACTAGGGTTGCAGCCATAACTCAGATTGCTGTCCCCCCTGAGCCCAGTCAGCTCCCCCAGCTATAGGCCTTGTTCTGCCTGGCACCGATAAGAGCCTAGATCCCGATTGCCACCCTGTGTTTGGAAGGGCACCAAACACCTGGCAGACCAGCAACCCAGGGCTGGGCCAGATAAGCGTAAGCAGGACATCTGGAGCCCAGGAGGTGAAGCACAGCTGGGGAAAGGCTGTGGGGGTGACCAGATCACAGGGATAGCTCCATCTCTGTGTGATCACCCCACACTCCACAGACAGCTACGCTTTCTTATCTTTTATAATCCCCAAACCATGCTGTGAAATGGATAATGTCATTTGCCCATTTTACAGACACTAAAGCTGAGGTTCATAGAAGTTTACATGCTTCATTGCCCAGTAGGTAGGTGGTAGAGGCAGGATTAAACCCTGGCCAACTTGACTCTAGCCACATCTCTAAGGGCTATGCTGAATTGCCTCCCGGAAAAGAAACCAACTACTAGCTGGCTTGGAGCTAGTGGTTAACTATCAAGGACTCTGCAGTCAAACTGCCTATGTTTAAACTCCAACCCTGCCATTTACTCTGTGTCCTTGAGCAAGTAAGTGACTCAAACTCTCTATGCCTTGATTTTCTCATCTATAAAATGGGGGTTATCATAATAATGCCTCTTTCACAGACCTGTTGTGAGTATTAAGAAAGTTCAGGCTCGGCGCCTATAGCTCAACCGGCTAAGGAGCCAGCCATGTACACCTAAGGTGGCGGGTTCGAATCCCCAGCCCGGACCCGCCAAACAACAATGATGGCTGCAACCAAAAAATAGCCGGGCATTGTGGCGGGCGCCTGTGGTCCCAGCTACTTGGGAGGCAGAGGCAGGAGACTCGCTTGAGCCCAGGAATTGGAGGTTGCTGTGAGCTGTAATGCCACGGCACTCTACCCAGGGGGACAGCTTGAGGCTCTGTCTCAAAAAAAAAAAAAAAAAAAAAAAAGAAGAAGAAAGTTCATATATAAGGCACTTATAACTGCCTAGCACATGAACCTGGCTCTATGCAAATGTCTGACGTCATTATCCCTGCCACTGAGATCAAGGTCAGACTTGCCTATCTTCTTCCCCTTCTGATTTGCTTTCAATTCCTGTGGAATTAGCCTGAACTAAGTGTTTTAAGATCCTCAGAGGGTGGGAGGATCCACATTTTCCTCCAAATACTCCCCAGGCTGAGGACAGTGACGGGTCCCCCAGGTCGACCCCTAGAACTGTCCCAAATGGGAAGCAGTGTCAGCTGACATCTTGCCTCCTTGGTAGGAGATAAGGTGGCCTGGGGATTCCCATCATAAAATAAGGAGGAGTCTCGTGTGAATGAGACCTGAGTCTGTGGGATCCAAGGGCTGGTCAACAGGAACTTTACAAGAACCCACCCGGGAGGGAGCAGACTTGCCCCCTCACACACACCAGCCACATACATCTCTGCTGTCAGGAGCCACTGGCCACCCTACTCTCCCCAGCTGCAGGTACAAATGGGCCTGTGCCCTTTGGGGCAACACACACAGTAACATTCTCATTCCACCCACCTGTGCCCCCTTGGGGGTCAGTGGCCATGCCCACTTGGGCATAGATTCAGGCTAGGCACCTGCAGAAACTTTAGGGCAAAGGACCACCCCAGCCCTTCCCTACCCTGCCCACCTGCTTTTGAACCTCAGGGTCCCTCGGCGCAGTCCTGCAGCCACCGGTGCCCTCTGTGACCAGCTGAGCTCACACCCGTTCTGACAGCAGCAATGCCTCGGGGCAGCTTGCAAACCCCTGACTCATGCTCCCGCCTCCTAATCTGCCCGCCCCATGGGCCCTGGGAGCCCCTTCTCATCCCCCATCCTGCTCCCACCAAGTACCCAGTAAACAGAGTTATCTCTCACCCGCATCTGGACAGCTGTGACTCTGGCCCGTCCCCACCCTGGGACTGGCCAGTCCCCAAGTTCCCCCAAGGCCCGCCTGACTCCTAGGGTTCTCCTGGGTCTTCCTTTGTGGATTAAGATTTGGTGGCTGGGTTCTTGGGGCTCCCAGCCCCTTGGCAAGAAGGCACCAACTTCTGGAGGTTCCTGTTCTGTCTCTGTCCATCCTTCACTCCAGCCAGGCCCTTTTGCTCTGGCCCAGGTACAAGGGCACCTTCTCTTCTCTCCTCTCCTTGTATCTGCCCTCAGGACTCACTCCTCTGCAATCCTCCCCACGTGGACCTGCTTAGTGTATACAGGGTCCAGGCACCCTCCTCATCTCCTTGCCCCAGACTAGAGTCCCCTAGTCTAGGTGCTAGGAGGAACATTCTCTCTTCAAGATCATGGCTGTCTCCAAAGAACTGGACCCTGGGTACTAAGATGCTGACACTCAGTCAAACCGAAACAATGTCAGGTCAACAAAAACAACCATCCCCACACCGAGCTCTGGAGCTCACAAAGCCCCAATGTCTGGGCACACTAGCTCCTCTGTGGCAGCCTGGCCCAGGCCCCCAGGCCAGAGCAGCGGCATTCTCGGCCCCACCCTGCCTCTCCCCCCAGCCAGTGAGGCAGTCTCTCTTCTCCTTGGGGATGGCCAGGGCCTGGCCACCTATTCCTAGGCTCTGGTTGCTTAAGATACAGAGACCAAAAGATGAGTTCAGATCAGCAAGAATGAAGAGAGGTTTTGGTTCAGTGCCTATAGCTCAAGCAGCTAAGGCACCAGCTACATACGCCAGAGCTGGTGGGTTCAAATCCAGCCTGGGCCTGCCAAAAAACAATTGACAACTACAACCAAAAAATAGCTGGGTGTTGTGGTGGGTCCCAACTACTTGGAAAGCTGAGGGAAGAGAATCGCTTAAGCCCAGGAGTTGGAAGTTGCTTTGAGCTATGATGATACAGCACTCTACCCAGGGCAACAGCTTGAGACTCTGTCTCTAAAAAAAAAAAAGAAAAAAAGAATGAAGAGAGGTTTTAAAGCAGACAGAAAGGGGTGCCATGGACATGGCTCTGAGCACAGGCAGAGGAACCTGTCCTAGGCCAGCCCTGGCACTGACTGGCTGTGGGAACCTGGGCATATCCCTGGCCCGGTCTGGGCTTCAGTTTCCTCATCTATAAAGTGTGGGCAATTGGTTCTGTGGCCACCAGCTGGAAGTCCAGACTCAAGCAGTAGAAACTCAGACACAGAGACAGAGAGGCAGGTATATCCCATAATTCCACGACCCATTTCCTGGTCTCCACCACCAGCCTGCGCTGTGCAGAGAGAGGAAAGGACAGGGCCTCAGACCCCAAACCAGCGCAAGCTGTGCACAGAGGACCTCTGCTCCCGGAATTGTGCCTTCACCTGGTGCTCACACTTAAATCTTACAAACCTCTCAATTCAAAGAGGAGAAAACTAAAGCCACAGAGAGGTGAAGTAGCTTTCCCAGTGAAAAGAATGCCCATGAGCCGGCTGTGGGGGCAGGAGCTTATAGTCCCAGCTACTCAGGAGGTTGAGGCAGGAGGATTGTTACTGAAGGCCAGGAGTTTATAACCAGCTCTCTAGGCAACATAGTGAGACCCTGTCTCTAACAATAAATGTTATAGGGCAGGGGGGAGGAAGGAGGGAGAAGAGAGGAGGAGGAAGGGGGACTGGGCACAAAGTAAGGGTATATGGCGTGCCCCTCCTGGGTGTGGACATAACTACAACAGGGACTTTACCTAACAAAAGCAAACAGTGTAACATAATTCAGATAGGCAATCTCTCTGCAAAGTGGGCACTCTTCCTGCTCTGGGCCTCTCCTGCCACCCGGGCCTTTATGCTGGTCAGTGACAGAGCAAGGGCCCTTTTCGGGGTAGGGGGGGCTGGGTGGTGCCTCCTCCCACTCCAGCTAATGGGATCTGTCCCAAATGGCTGGCTTCCTTCGGCCCATGGCAGTGAGTGTCAAGTGAAGGCCCTGCCTGCTTCCTCAGCCCAGAGCGCCCAGTCTCCTCACCCCTCCACCTGACCCCAGAGTTGAGAGGCAACTGAGTGCAGGAGGCAGCAGGGGGTCACCTCCCCTGGAGCCCATAAAGCACTGAAGGAGGGTTGGGGAGGATGAGAAGAGGAACAACTGGCTTAGGAGGACTGTCCTGTAGGTACTATCCCGACAGCTTATCAGACACTCAGGCAGGGGCACAGCAGTTGGTGACTGGTCCTTTCTGCTCACGCTACATGCATTGTCTAGGCATTCTTGTTGCTTTGACCGACTGAATGTAGGTGAGTTTTCCCCAAATGTGCCCAACACCACATTTTACACTTGCTTATGCATTTCCAGGAAGAAGTGAGTGCTGCTCTGACTCATTTTATTGAATCAGTTCAATTCGTCTGAAGTCCTCCAGGTGCCTGGCCCTAAGCTGGGTGCTGTGGAAGCCAGGCAGGAGGGAGGCGGGTCTCCCTTTAGCTCCTGAGCTGGATGTGGATAGTCAGAAATACTGGCATGCAGAGGACTTGAGCAGGGCCCCAGGACACCTTGAGAGGATGTCCTCGCTGGCTCTCCAAGGGTCACAGACCTGACTTCCCTTGGGAAGACCAGCCTCCTCTTCCCTTGAAGTCCTTGCCACACCTACTCCTCCATTGCCTAAAATAGCAGTTCTCAACCTGTAGGTCGAGACCCCTCTGGGGGTCTAATAACCCTTTCACAAGGGTCACCTAAATACATTCTGCATATCAGATATTTACATTATGATTCATAACAGTAGCAAAAATACAGTTAGGAAGTAGCAACAAAAATAATTTTGTAGTTGGGGGTCACCACAACACGAGGAACTGTATTAAAGCGTCGAGGCATTAGGAAGGTTGAGAACCACTGGCCTAAAGACTAAGGGAGGAGCCTACTAGGTTTCCTCCCCAGTAACCGTGGTTGTCCTTGTCCAAGTTCATGCTCACAGAAAGTTGGGAGCCCAGGCCAGTGTCAGTGGGAACAGTGTGAGCTGAGGGCAGACCCTCTAAGAGGACCCTTTAAGAGATTTTTCCAGACATACAGTCAAGACCATGGGTTAGGGTAGGTTGTCCCAAGGAAAGATAGGCCCTGTGGACAGAAGGTGGAGTTCTCCCAAAGGGACAAGACTTTCTTTTTTTTTTCATTGAGACAGAGTTGCACTTTGTTACCCCTTGTAGAGTGTCAGGGCATAGCTCATAGCAACTACAAACGCTTGGGCTTAAGCAATTCTCTTGCCTCAGCCTCCCCTGTAGCTGGGACTACAGGTACAGGTGTCTGCCACAGCACTGGCTATTTTTTTTAAGAGACAGGGTCTCTCTCTTGCTCAGGCTGATCTTGGACTTGTGAGCTCAAGTAACCCACCCACCTCAGTTTCCCAGAGTGCTGGGATTATGGGTATGAGCCACTGTGCCTAGCCCTGACTTTGTTATTTTCAATAGTCCTTGATTCAGTCAGCCCCTAAGTCAGAAGTGAAGACCTGGCAGAGACCTTGGCAGGTCAGGCTGTTTCTCTTGGCCTACGGAGCAGAGATGAGAGTAGGCAAGAGACTGGGGGTTACTGGTGGTTAGGTGAGCTGTCCCTTACAATGGGCATGACAGTGTGGTGATGGCTTAGGGCTGTGACTGCTGAGGGCAGACCCATCCCATAAGCGCACTTCTGCCCTTCCATGCCCAGTGGGTAATTCTCAACCATTATCCTTAAGCTCTCAGCAAAGCCTTGAGGGACAGGAGCAGCTACCTCAGCTACCCTATGGGGCAAAGTAGGCGTGGTTTGCAGTGGGAGCTAAGGTGAGTGAATGTCTAGAGGGCATAGGCTCCTGAAAGGAGGTGTGGTGGCTGGAGACAAAAGGCTGGTGCAGGAGACAGGGTCTGGCCAGGTGGGCCCAGGAGGACCCCATGGATATTCCCTAGTGAAGACATAGCTTCCTGTGGCCTCCTGGAATGGGGACTCAGACTTCTGAGATTTTGCATTAAAGGCAAGTAACCTATGGCTGGGACATTTGGATGGCTGGGCTTCACTGGATTGCTGGGGCAGGAAGCCCTCCCACTGTGCTATGTGACCTTGAGCAGACCATACCCTGTCTCTGGTCTTCCATTTCCTCTCTGGGCTATTGTGACCAAATGGGATGACGGGTGGGAAGGAGGTTGAAAACAATCTCTGGATGCTGATAGGAGGCTGAGTTGTGAACAGGCGCCGAGCATCTCTTGTGTACCAGGTGGCCCACTGGAAGAAAGTAGCTGGGCTGAGGGCCACACAATATCTTCAAGCTCATGTCCAGTCAGAGAGCACATAAAAACTATAGAGTGTGAGAATGTGGTTAGGGTCAAGTACCTTGGGAAGTGTGAAATGTCCTCAGGGAGACATCTGGAGGAGGGGCCCCAGGGGTGAGGTGCAGCCACAGAACAGTCTGGGAGTGACCAGAAATGAGGCAGAGAGATTGGGCTGGAACTGGAAAGGCCCTTGGACCAGCCAGCCCAGTACCCTTCCCTGTGGAATCCCAATACCCCACCACTGACACCCTCAGCTGGGCCCTGTGGAGTCCTGACAAGGAGGCTACCCCCTGTCTGGGGGCAGTCAGGCCAGATCTGTGCAAAGATAGCACAGCCTGAGACCTGTCCACAGACACACAGTGCCCTCTGAGAGCTGGGGAAGAGGAAGAGGGCCCTTGGGGGATGGGTGGGGTTTCCCGAAATGGAGAGGCAGAGGATGGTCAAAGGGCAAGCTTGGAACATTGTGGGACAGTTGAGACCTCCAGACAGTGCAGTGAGGGGTGGTGTCCTAGATCCCTC